TCTTACAACCCACACAAAGGTGAAAGAAGAGAGAGAGAACTGACTCTACAAAGTTGTCCTCTGACCCCTTCTATCGCAATCATACACATACAATATATGCACAATAATAAGAAAAAATGCCAAATTTAGAATTCAGAGAGAATGCACACAGTGAAGGGAAAAAAAATTTCTTCTAATTACAATAGGTTTTATAACTGTCAAAAAAATAAATAAATAAAGGCTGGAACTTGTCTGAAGATGAATGTTGGTGGGCAAACCTGATGGAATAAAAGACAGTTTTGTTCTGTTTGGGAGAGATGAGGAAACGTTAACATAAGGACAAATTCCCAGTGCCTGTAATGACAGCACTCACAAGGTAAAGGCAGTAGGATCAGGAATTCAAGGTCAGCCTGAACTACATAGTGAGATCTGCTTTTAAAATAAGAAAGGTAGGTGAAAGGTAGCTCAGCAGGTAAAGGCATCTGCTGTCAAGCCTGAAGATCTCAGCTCAATTCCTGGGACCCATACGGTGGAAGGAGAGAACTAACGCCTGCAAGTTGTCATCTGACCTCCACTTGTGCACTGTGATATGGGGGTATGTGCGTGCGCACGCACAATAAATAAAAATGTAATTAAAATGTATAATGTGATAAAATGAAGAGAAGAAAAGGGCAAGAAAATGGGAAGGGAGGGAAGAAAAGGGAAAGAAAGGAGGGAGACACTTTGTCATTCAAGTGAATGAACCACAGATCACTAAATGATGTTTTTCTCAACTTACCCATGGTTGGTTACAGCCTGGAAGCATCCTATAAACTTAGAACAAAACTAGGACAGAAGTTACTTCATTACTTGCCATTGAGAATTGCTGTAGGACAGCGATTCTCAATCACTGGGATCATCTAGAGGTTAGAGGCCTGTTCTCATAGACTGCTGCACCTTACCTCTAGGTTTGACTCCAGGGTGGGACCCCAGAATGTGTATTTCTCCAAAGTTTTCAAGGGCTTCTAGGGTTGATATTACAGAGAACACCTTGAAACCCACAGCCTTGTTGGACTAAGAGTTTTTTTAATTGTCTGATGGAACTGTAGTTAAGAAAGGCTGATATAAAATACACCTTCATTTTGAACATCATTTATGCACCTCAAAGTGAAAAGAAACCAGTAGAAAGAAGCAGATCACCCTTACTCCTGTTTAGGAAAACATCTTGGTCTGTTTACTAGTCTTTTCTTTAGAAATAAATAGAAATGACTGTTGCATATGCAAGCAAGCATGCAAAACCCTACCAAACCATACACAGTATGGGAGCAAAAAGGCCCACAACCTATGTTTCCCTCGGGTTCTTCAGAAAGTTCTGCCTGTTCATAGCACCAATGTGAGTCCACCAATCCTTTCATCTCAAGATTAGTCTTCAGCATTTGTTGCTGCTTTGCTGCTGCTGACGGAACCAGGCCTCTGAGCATGCTAAGCACACACTACTACTGAGTTTCACTCCCAATCCCCATTCTCATCATTTATATCACTTTGCTTTTAATGTTTTTAAATGCTCTGAGAGAACTTCTCAAGTCTGACCTTAACATTTCAATCTTTGTAATACTCACCCCCCACCCTGTGTGTACGTGAGTACAGGTGCACACATGCATGATGTGCATGTGGAAGTCAGAGGACAACCTCAGGTGATGGTCCTCACCTTCCACCTTGTTTGAGACAGTCTATTGTTTGTCCCTGAATTCTCCAGACTAGCTGGCCTGTGAACTCCAGGGCATTCTCCTGTCTCTGCCTCCCATCTCACCTTAGAGCACTGGGATTACAGATGCACACTACCTCAGGGGCTTTATATAGGTTCCGGGGGCTCTGGACTCAGGTCTTCACACTTGTGCAACAAGCGTTTTTACCCAATGGGTCATCTCCCACACTCAATTCTTACTATGTATTGCTTTCAAAATGGAATGGTGGTTCTGTATATTGTATTTTAGTTCCTAGAATTCCTTCCTTTAGTTATCTGTCCTTTTCAGTCTTTCATATGAGCCTGCTGCCTGTCTCCTAATGGGGTTTCCTTCTTAATAGATGCCACATTTTCCTACATGCTTTGGGCATGCTGACTGCTTTTGTTTTATTTTTTTCCCAGTCCTCTTTTCATCACAAGGCAGTTCTCATTTGGCCCTTTAAATAATTTTTTCACAGAATATTTTTGTGGTTTTGTTTTAGAGACAAGACTGCACTATAAAGCCCAGTCCAGTCTGGCCTTCAATTCATGATCCTCCTGCCTCAGTCTCCTGAGTGCTAGAATTACAGACTAGAGTCACCACATCAGCACTTACAAGACTTTTACTTTCCCTGGTCAGAGCTTTCTGGACAAAGTAAAACCAAACCATGCTCAGTACCTGGCAACAAGAAGAGAGGAATAAATTGCCTTTTGACGCTGCTTTCTAACTACATAGCTGCTAGTGGAATTCCCTCCTAAAATAATGTGAAGATATAAACAATCCCTGGTACCAAAAAGAGGCATCATTTCAGGAGATTCTGTAACAACAAGCAGGAAGGACTTCTTGTTTTCCAAATAATAGGTCTTTCAAGTACTGAACACATGTAACTTTCAAAAGTCCACTTTTTGGACTCTTCCCACTGCTGTTTACTGTTGGGGTCACAGTGTGACAGGGTTGAGGGGCCATATTTGGAGGTCACTGACTTTCCCTCACCTTTCCGTAGGAGAGCTGATCATGAAGGAATTCTCTGACCTACCTCTACTACAAGGTACACCCTGATGTGAAAGGAGTCCCACCTCAGCCAGAGAAAAGGATGCTACACAGGCGGCCAAGAAGAATCTGTGTGAGCAGGCTTTGCTAATTTCCCACCAGTGGGCTTCCACTGGCTCAAATCTCTTTTGTCTAATGATACTGCTATTGCAGAGTACCCGGGTTTGGTTCCCAGTACCCACATGGTGGCTAACAACTGTCCATAACTCCAATTTCAGGAGATCTGATACCCTCTTCTGATCTCCACAGGCACTGCAAGACACAGGTGCACTTACATACATTGAGGCAATACATTCATACACCTAAAAGTAAAATAATAAATAAAAATTTTTTTAAAATAGAAAGTTCCTGTCTGAGTTGGAACTTGGATTAAATGAATGTGCTATGCTTCTTTGTTCTGGAGGTGTCAGCCACTACCCTTGCAATGAGTCACAAAAAGAAGCTGCTTTTTAGGTTTGTCATCAAAACCTGGGCACCTGGGCTCGAATCCAGGACCCACACAGTAGAAGGAGAGAACTGACTTCCACAAGTAGTCCTCTGACTTTCACATGCTCACCATGGCACATGCTTCCTTCCCAATAAGCATATATACATACATAGTTTTTATTTATTTTTCTTTATGTGGTTGAATGCTTTGCCTGCATGTGTGTAAGTGCATCCATGTCATGCACTGTCCATGGAGGACAGAAGAGGGTGTCAGATCCCCTGGAACTGGAGTTATAGATGGTTGTTAGCCGCTATGTGGGTGCTGGAATTCAAACCTGAGTCTTCTGTAAGAACAGCCATGCTCTTAATCACTGAGCCATCTCTCCACCCCATACATAGTTTTTTAAGTGTTTTTTTCCTCATCCACATTATCTTCCCAGAGTCAGTTCAATTCACTTGCTTCTTCATGCAGCCCCTTTTCTACCCTCCATTCTAACCCCTTACTTTTGAGAAGAATTGCATTTGTTGTAATCAGTACCATGCGATTGACTATTTGCTCTGTAATTATTTCCTGTTTTCTCCAGTTTCACAGAAAGTTATTCAAAGCATATCTTAGACTTCTTTATAATAGCACAGAGACCAAGTAACTATCTGTCAACTAACAGAAAGATGGTTCTAACTTCATGAAGAATACAAGCACTAAGCTGGGTCTAGTTGCACACACCTGCAATCCTAGCACTCAGGAGGTAGAGGGAAGAGGACTGAGAGCAAGGCCACCTAAGCTACACAGCAAGATCCTGTCTCAAAAAAGGAAAAAATGACAGCACTTCTACTAATGTGAAATTTTATACAACAGATACAATCTAGTGAACCACATCCCCACTACTAAATGTCTAAGGAAAATAAGACTCAGTGTTGTTTCTCTTCTCCCAGTGTTGGAGGCAATCTGCTAATGTGCAAGTAGAAAAAAGGGTTATACTGGGCATGGTGATATATGCCTATAATGTCACTCAGCACTTGGGATGCAGAGGCAGGAAATGCATAAATTCAAGGCTATCCTGAACTATGGTCTGAGCTATATGGCAAGACCCTGTCACAAAAAACAAGGGTGAGGGATGAAGCTCAGGGGTAGAACATTTGTTTAGCATGTATAAGGCCCTGAGTTCGATGCCCAGTAGTGTTTA